GTTTAGTTAAATTAATTTAACTTCAAATTACTAGAAGTATCTATTAGATTTTTCTATTTAGTTAATAAAAATATAATTGAAACAGGTGCTAGTAACAGTCTGCTTTTGTATTGAAAAAAAAATAAGCATGACTTCTAAATAAATGTGATTAAACAAAAGAAATGTTCCCAAACAGGAACATAAGACAAATAACAATACATGCTAAAATGAATAAATTAATCATATCTTAACTAAAAATAACATTTAATAGTGAGACAACAGATGTTTTCATTCACCCATTTGTATGCACATTATGGAACATTGCATACATTTTTTTTTTTTTGAAAATGTCAAGATGCTCATGAAAATGTGGATAAAATAACATATACACACAACAGACTAGAATCAACTTTATATCCGACAAGAAAAAATGTGAAAAAAAAACTAAAGTGAGAACCAAATAAATTCCTTCATAAAGTCATGTAATGATAGAAATTAGTGCAATGGGATGCCCGTATCAGACAAACTAGCAGACTGACTACATTGTGAAACATTAAAATGGTCTGAAGATGATGCCTTCCCAGAGATGCCTCAAAAGCCCGTTATAACTGCATTAATGATTTTAGCATGAGGCATAAGTACTTTATTATATAAGAGATCTAAATTATATATAATATAATTAAAATTATCTGCAAATTACATTTTTATTAATGAGACTTGATGCCAGTTAATCAGAAAGTGGCCTTTTTTTCAGTTTGACTTTGGATGGAAAAAGTCTTTGTACACTTAAGTTTTTACCTGATATTCCATAAGTCCATAAATCTAATTCACATCTAATTCACGTCTTCCATGACTGGATAATCAATAAAAAACAAGCAAACATATACATATACATATATATATATACATATATATATATATATATATATATATATATATATATATACATACACACATACATACATACATACATACACACACACACACACATTACATAAGCGTTCCATTCATTAAACCTATGTAATGTGGGAACATTACATAGGTTTCCATTCATTTTATACTGTCCAAACCGTATATTATATTGCCCTCACCCCACCCCACCCCTAAACCCAACCATCACAGGAGTCAGTGTGCAGCTTTACTCTCTGATTAAAGTCATTGTCTAGGATTTATAAGCATTTTGAGAAATGAGGATGTCACCGATGTCCTTATATTTCACCTCCTTTTGTAATACCTGTGTCATACCCATGTCACAAAATCACGTACACACACACACACACACACACATATATATATATATATATATATATATATATATATATATATATATATACATACATATATACACATCCATACATATAAATGTTAAAACCGCTTGCCATACTTAACAGCGCGCCAATCTTTCCTCAATACATTTTTATTCTGTCGAGTACGTCATCTGCTCTCTTTTAATGCCATCAGTAGCACCTGAGAACAATGTAAAACATGTTATTCACCCCGCTGCTTAACAAACAGTAAGCTCATTAGGCTTCTTAAACCTTACGGTTACCTTCATATGCCCATTACTGTGCCTGTATCTGCTGTCTCAGACAATGATCTGTCAATTTCCCCTGTGTGATGTAAGGCCATTTAAACCTCAGCATCTCAAGGTCGAAAAGCTACAGCCAGTGTTGCTTCTTTATCCAAAACACATTCAGAGAAAATGAAATGATCTTCATTTCAGCAGCAGTCTGCCGCCAGAAGTGCAGCTGTGTTTGCAGTACATGGAAAAAGCGTAATAAACTAATCTGGTCTCAAGGGTTGGCCGGGGTTTAAAATAACTAGGATCTCGGTCTACCTTCAGAGACTTTATGTATCTGCTGGCAATCTATCTTTAAGAACAATTACGCTTGAACATTCGAGTAATAAGTTAGGCCAACATTATTATTTACTTCAGAGGAGTTAAGAAATCAGCATTTTATTTTAGCAAATTATTTCGACCATGTTATTTAAAAATAATAATAAATGCAGTACAATAAAATTAATGTGACACTTCATAGACAGGCAGTGTGTGCATACTTATTTCTATATCCCAGTGGGGACTTACACTTACTGTAAATGCAAATTGGTTAATTGGGAAATTGTGTCCACCCTGGTAAACATTAAAATACCATATATTGAATGATTTTGAAAAGGTAAAAATGCAGATTGCTTCCTCCGAGATTTTGGTTTAGGGGGACAGAACATTACATATGGATACAGGAACGAGTATGCCTGTCTATTGTTGTGACTTTTGTACATTGGACTTCAATACCAAAACATCCTTAATATAGTATTGGCTGTATACACAAACACATCAAAATATTTTAGGAGATTTAAACTACAGATTTTCATCAGAAGAACTTGTTTCATCTGAAGGAGACAATTCTGTTCTTTAATGAAAAGCTCTGATAATACTATGTACAGTCAGGAGCTAATAAAAACTGAAATGGCAGTAATAATTTCTCCAATAAACCTCAGCGTCATGACCTTGAGAGGAAAAAGTCTTGGAATGAAATAAGTGCCAGCTCCGCTAAGCATATTTATCTTGAAAAATTTAAATTTGGTCTCAAGGTCTCAACACAATTAACACTTTCATTGTCTGACAGAATTCTTCAAATCGTCAAAAGCAGCACTTTTTCAAAAGACACTTGAATAGAATGACTCCTACGTTTTTCCAGTATAAATCTGGTGGGTGGAGAAATAAAATTGGCAAACATGTTCAGGCCCATAGAGAGGGTTTGGGTGGTTCGAAAGTCCTATCTCAAAACATTTATACAACTGTAATAACTCAGTTTAAATGCACATTTCTAAATAAACAGTGTGTTAAATTAGTGTGTTAAGCTCTTTCACAAAATAGTAGGAAATATTTTTGTTGCATCAAAGTGTGGTTATGACGACCATCCGACCAGCTAGTGCAGCAAATATCGGTGCTTAAAATGTCACTAAATGCCCTATTTGAAGCTCATCATTTAATAGAAAGTTGGGAGAGAAACTGCATTAAAGATCCACTTTGAGAAAACAGAACCTTTTTCAATTGGCTGGCTACAGAATTTTTTTTTAAAACATTACAAAATAAAAGATTCAATATATATGCACACAACATACATAGCCAAGCCACAAAGTTCATACCACTGGCAAATTCTGACTTGGTTAATTTTTTCAACCAGCAATTCTTTATGTTTTGTTTTGTTTTACTGGAAATGACACAAAAAAAAAAAAAAAAAAAAAAAAATTATATTTATAAAAATATTTTAACTAAAATTTATTTAATCCAATACTGGTAACATTTCAATGTGGTTTCTAAAATATTGACAAAACGTGCATTAGCATGGTTCTTGTACAAGATTTAAATTTAGGTTTGTTGCTGTTTTTGTCAGCTGCACAGTACAATTGTTGAAATAACATCCTAAACAATTTTCATTCAAGCACTTTCAAGGGCCTTTGTTTGTTTTTAAGTACTTTCCAGGCCTTGAATCCATATGTGTGGAATTTAAGTACTTTCAAGAAGCGTGGGAACTGTGAAAAACTTTAAGTCAGAATTCACCAGGAGTATGAATCATTTCACGCTTGACTGTTTATACATTTCTTTTTGTGATTTAAAGGTTTAACTTTAAGCTAATTTTAGCAGGGTTACCAAAACACTTCATGCAGGTTACTTTTTCATTTCTTTACACGTCAAATTAATTGAAAATGTTTTACGTTTACAGTCCAGGTCAAAACTGCACACCTCAATTTTCCAGGCGGCTTACTAGGAAAATGTAAGTTTGCAAACTTCTGGTTGGATAAATTTGAGTTTCAAGGTTTAAACAGTGTCACTGAAAAAAACGCATAATTATTTCAAGCTTTGTTTCTTCCAAGCTTGTTGAACTACAACTGTTTAAGTTAAAGCTTTGATACTAATTAGAACTTGAAGTGGCAATGAGGTCTTAAAATTTGCAGAGAAGGTTTTTAAAAAGTCTTATAAAGGTGTTGAAATTACATTGAGGACTGCTGCATATACCCTGCTATGTTTAATAAACTACATATTGTACATTAGACCCGGACAAGTGAGCTACTCTTCAGTCAAACATAAACAATTTAAAAGAATATGAAAAAAGAAAAAAAGATAAACGCATTAGAAATCAAGCATGGAGAATAATCCTGTGGTATTTAAACAAAAATGACTCCCTCTCCTGGAAATACTGCTGACTGCAGCATGAAAGCACCAGCTGCATTTCAACAAAACACATCCAAAACCTACATTCCCAAAACACACTCTACTTTGCAACTTAATCTTTTATTTGCAATGTTTCATCTCTCCAATCTTTCCAGTTTGATGTGAAAGCATTCATTTCCTTAAATAATAAAGAGAGCAAAAAAAAAAAGGAAAAACATATTTACACAAGTTCTTTCAATAAAACTAAATCAACGGATCACTGTAAGCACCTCTTACCATCTGGAAGAAAACAAATCTTAAATACAGGGAAACTGCCATTTCTGTTGGGGGGAAAAATAAATGGCATTACATCAGATTCTTAACTTTTAATAACTGAAAATAAGCACACAAAAAAAAGAAAAAAAAAAAACATCTCCATATGTATGTACAGAACGCTCCTGAAATGTGTTTCCACTCTACAAGTAGAAAAGGCTTTAGGATCATTACTGTCATTTCATCAAGTTGATTTTTCTATATGCTTCAAGTTTTAATGATTTCTCTTTAAAATTCCACCGCAGGCTAGCTCAAGTGGGGCTGAAGTGGCCCATCAGTTCGTCAAGAGAGAGGTAAGACGCAAAAGTGTGGGGTAGGAAGCGGGACATGGATGGCTTATTAGGAAGCATGTTGGACCCTCGTCATCCAGCAGCACTAAGGTCAAAAAAGTCAAAGTCCATCCGAGACCGTCATCCTGAAGTTCGACAAGTTCACCCCCGTAACTAAAGGATACAGGAAGCATTAAAAGCGCAAAATACAAACGCTACTCAAATCTCATCCCTCACTTTGAGAATTCATCAGATGCTACGCTCGTACACCTTTATCATTGCGGCTTTAAAAACATCAGTCCTCTCGCACGCACACATTAAAGAGAAACGTCTGTAGGAGCTCTGCGTTTGATCGGACGTTACAAACCTACAGGACATGATTCCCATCATGCCTTCTCCACATGATACAGGACGTCCTGTTAGATCCCACGTTGCATATAAATCTATATTAACATGTAAGAGCAGCGTTGGTTTGTACTTTTCCCCCAAGGTTTTTCTCTCTCATAAAAATAAAAATGAGGATGAACTGTTAACACGTTTAAGCAGTCCTGAAGATCTTTTTTTTTTTAATTATTATTATTATTTATTGTTTTAGGTGGACATTTGCCACAAGAGATATAGAGAGCAAAAGAAATGACTGAGAAATGATTGTAGTTTATATCTGTCAAGAGCCATCCTGAACAGATAAGATTGGCTTGGTGAGGATCCAGTTCAACTTGGTTGTCAGAAATCCTCGCCTTTAGTTCCCGGCAGCGCTTTTACTTTTTCTTTTTTTTTTTTCTGCCCTCTCTCACTGCGCTGCTGCCTGGGCGAGCAAAGTTCAGGATTAGCTGTTGTCGGATTCAGACTCGGCCTCTCGTAACCATGTAAAGAAGGCAGTGACGGACTTTAGAGCAACGCCTTTGCCCTGCTGCTCCGCTGGGTCTTTGCTGGATTCCCATTTGTAAAAGGCTTCCTCCTTGATCACGTCCTCGTCGTACAGCGCATCGAAAAACATGCGCAGTAAATCTGAGGGGAAACAGAAATGAGGCTGTTCAGCGACACTTTCAGCAATAGTCATTTAAAACAAAAACAAATTCAGTCCTGCTACTGGTGTACATGTTTCATTCAGAATAGCTCATTATTTTATTTTTTACATTTATAATAGGGACGTAATAAACACCAACTTCTGTACTAAACAAGCATTTCCATGAACAATTTCAGCAGTGTTGAGTGAAATATAATACCTCTGATTGGCCATTGTGTTTAAGTGCTCCTCAAATTACCGTGATCGGCTCCAATGATGATGGCTTCACACAGTGATTACTCAAATACACAAAAACAGGAGTGTTTGAAAGCCACATCTATGGGTGCACTCAAACTATGCTATCTGAACCATGCCCAGGTGTGTTTTCCAGTTTGTTTGAGAAGTGTGAGTGTTCTGAATCGGGCCAGGCACTGTTAAGCTGACCGGCCCTGGCCCGGTTGAATGGGGTGTGCCAGATCGGTTGGGCCTTGGCATGATATGCTTGTTTTGTGAGTGTAAAGCATGTGTGAGGCCAAAACTGAAGATGCAACGTCACTTTTAAGGGACTGCTTAATATGGATTTATTAATCATTCTTGCTTTTCAACAAATCGCAAACTGGCATAGTTTATTAAGACACACAAACCCCTCACTGCACAACAGCTGCACCTTTAGCAAACCTCCTAATACCAGTAGTACAAGTGGTGGATCTGTTATAAAATATTTGACTACATGTCATTACATCCCAAACGACTAAAATGATACAACTAAAGCAATGTCCACTGTGCTGAGCGAGAGTCCTTTTTTTGCCTCTTAAACTGAACAGCCGCATCAATGACTTTAGCACGCTTATGTTCAGAAGGTAAAGATGCAATGCGAGTTGGGGCTTTTAGGAGGGGACAAGCACGCTTCAAACAGATTGAGGCAACCATGCCAAGTGAGAGTATGCCCTATAAGCTGATTTATCAGTAGATTGCTTGTATATCTGCTCATAGACCAGAGATAGACAAACTCTGTCTTGAAGGGTCAGTGTCCCAGCAGAGTTTAGCTCAAAGCATAATCAAACACACCTGCCTATAGCTTTCTAGTGATTTTGAAGACAATGATTAGCATCTTCAGGTGTGTTTGATTGGTGTTGGAGCAAAACCCTGCAGGACACCGGCAACCCATGCCCATCCCTGTCAGACAGATCCTCTGTTAGGCCCCGTTTACACAGCCAGTTAAATGTGACCCAATTCCAATTTTTTGCTCATTTGTGACACAGATCAAATCTGTTCTATGACAGTGTAAACAAAAAAAAACAACAAAAAAAACGCATGCATTCAGATATTCAGAGATCGGTTTCAGGCCTCCTTCATATCTGGAAATAAATCAGATATAGATCGGATGTGTGACAATGCGACTGTCATGTAAACAGGCAGATCGGATTTGAGGCATTTCGTTCTGTACATCATTAAACTTGCGACAATGTAGTGCTTCTCTGCGGTTAAATAACAGACCGAGGAGGGTCTGTGGAGATGCCAACGTGGTAAACAACATCAGAGGAAACTGAGGATTTGCTTACAAAACACAATTTGCTCCCACCAGACCTGATACCTCTCTCGTACCCATACATTCCTCTGAATGGTGGAGGACATCATACAGCACAAACCATAAGTGCAACCTCCGATGACGGCCCTTTCCCACCTCCGCCTCAAAATCATTTTAAAGTTGGGTGAACTTTGTGTTGTAACTTTTGCTTTTTGTCACTATTAATACACACACTGCGGCTTCATATAGAACAACTTTATTCTCTCCAACATCAGTGCGCAGCACTGCGCGCACAGGCAAAAGCTACATCTTCAACTACACACACACACACGCACGCACGCACGCCATATCATTACATAAACTGTGTAGGGTAAATCTGGACTGAACCATTCATTGCTTTTACTACACTTCGCAGAGCTAAAAACAAGACAATTTCTTCCATCGTGGCTAGTCCCAGATAGCAGGTAGTAATCAGCCTGAGCTTGAGCATCGGCGAGTGTTATCCGGGCCGAGTATGGCCCGCAGCTCGCTCGCGCACATCCACTGTGATGATTACTGTTAACCATTTCTGGCCCGAGTCTGTGTATAGAGTCTGGGCCGCTTCTGGCAAGGAGTCAGCTTGTTTAACTGATGACAACAGATTAAATTCTTATTTTATCTAGTAATTTGTTAGCTCCATGTTTAATGACAAATTGAGAAAATATCCATGGTACAACAGCAACAAAATAAGAACATTGTGTGGATGGGTAGACACAAACAAAACATTATTTATAAATGCATTATACATTTCATCATGGCACAGATGCTAGAATCCGCCTTTATGCATGCGCGACATCGTAAATTGTATGGCAAGTGTAAACGCATGAATTGGATATGGTTCACAATTCAAACAACGTGTAAACAGACAGGCAAACAAATCAGATATAGGCAACAAATCGGAATTGGGCATTAAGACATGACAGTGTAAACGGGGCCATAGACACAGCATTCAAATGCTCCAGTGTCTGTGTATCTGTGCAAGCACTCTGAAGGTTGTGAAGCGGTGATCACTGAAGCCAATCAGTCATTACTGTTGAGCATGTGAACACAATAGCCAATCTAAAGTACTCAAATATTATGTGGAAATAAAGGTTTTGAAATTACAGTAATAGTCGGCCCAAAGTCCGTACTTTTCACATTTCTAATTTAGAATGTTACAAAAGCTGTCAAACTAATGCAAATGTTTCTTGAAAATCCTACACTGAAATGTGTTATAAAGGATAATATCAGCATATTAGACTGGACTGGAGCACAATGCTGACATGCTAAAATATATATATTTTTTTAAAGAATCTAAAAATATATAGCATTTATACACAGCTTAACTAAAAATAAAATGTTTTATTTTAGAGTATTTTAGAGTTTGCATCAAACTAAAATATCTAAAAGTTAAATATCAGTTTAATAAAATAACTACAGACAAAAAAAAGTTACAATTCAGTGTAACAATCTTTTTAAAAATAAAATTTAAAAAAATCAATAAAATAACAAAACAAACCTGAAACATACTGACCTATATTTATAAAAACAAAATGTGATCGTATTAAATTTCATTATTTTAAATAACTCAAATAGCTGGCAAATATATAAGGCCTAGTGCTGCATTGTGTTCCTTAAAAAGCCTATTTCTTTTAAATATCATCAATGTCTTCTTTAATCACGGTAGAAATGCTTGGTAAGAGGTGAAAATAAACTGAGCAACATTCTAATATACATTAAAAAAAATACTTCTCTCCATACTCCATACTTCCTTTATTTCATCATTAAAAATCTTGTAAATTAACAACCGGGTATATTCCAATTTTTATATGACTTTTATATGACTCCAATTTTCAATCAGTCTAGTGCAATATCAATTCATGTGAGTTTAAAGGAAGATTATAAAAACAAAAGCGCCACTCACTGGCCGGCTGCTCCATCTGCACCATGAGAGCCTGGAGAGCGTAGAGTGCCTGCAGCTCCTTCTGTTCATCAGAAAGGTACTTCTGCAGCAGCTTTGCCCTCTGGTTAATCTGCTCCACGTCCACACGGTAAGGGTTCTCACCTATAATGGTTCATTAATGCACACAATTAACATCGAGCACAGACCAGAGAGAGATCAGGTCTGAAGTCAAACTACCGTCAACAGCATGTAATGGATTCACTCACATATAATGGCAGACTGGCACACTGACATCATCAGTGCTCGCACAAACTGACTAGAGCTCATCTTTTGCTCATCCAGATTGGCCTTTAAAAGAAAAAAAACGGCAGTCAGTGCAAGTCCCATGCGCATACTACTATACCCATAATGCAGATCGCTGCGATGCCTTAATGTCTGTTTGCAGAGCCTTGAATCTCAGCCAAAGCACAAGCGCTCACCTCTACCCAGTCATAGATCCTCTGGTTGTTGGCTTTTTCTTGTAACAACCTGTCCAAATGTTTACTCAGCTCCTCAGCAGTCAGCTCTTTCTTGCTGGGCTTCTCAGACTCCTCGCCCAGTGTGAACTCCATTTTCTGAAAATACATCATCTTTATGACCTTCAGGCTCAGATATTTATACATTGCTATGTTTGTATTATGCTTGAACATATATACTCTATCTGCATACATATGCACAAAAATGTTTTTGCAAAGCATAATTAAGTGCAATTAATCAATTATAAATATATTTCTAGCAAGTACAAAAGATTAACAGATGATTATTGCAGGGACATGTTTGCAAAACAATAAAAATCAACAGGTTTAAGCATATTATTGTTCAATATTATTACTTTGAAGACAAAATTAAAGGCACAGTTCACCAAAAAATAAAAAAAATCTGTCACCCTTCACTCATTTCAAATCTTTTTTTTCGGTTAAACAAGAATTGTTTCAATGAAAAAAAAAAACTGAGAACATGCAGCTAATATTTGTTTTTCCTTCTTTGGAAGTAAATGGTTACAGGTTTTCAGATTTCTTTAAATTATCTTTTGTGTTCAAAAAAAAAAAAAAAAAAAAAGGTTTGGAAGCACTTTTTCAACACATTTTCATTTTTGATTGCAATCTCAATATAAATGCCTACATCATTTTAATCCTAAATGGTCACAATTAGAATTATACTTCTGAGGATGACAGTAGTACATTTAAATCTGCCAATGACCACAGAGAGCAGTTATTGTGCAAGTTAAGTATTATGAAACAGCTTAAGTCATTTCAATCTAAACTCTTGCTTCTTTGTTAGAAATATTCAAATAGTCAAAGTACTCAATTTACAATTGAAATCATTATTTGAAACTTCAAAAGAAGGTTGTAGCATTACATAGTTGCACAAATAGTGACTAGCAACCATTAAAAATGTATTTGGTCACTGAATAATTGGATCAAACTTAAAATATGCTGATTCATACGGTAAATAAAACGTTGTCTGTGCAAATGATCAAATCACTCATTCAGGTTATATAATTTACTACTATATTATTTTGATAATGTTCAGCTTCAAGCACCTGTTCTGTAACAAACTTATTGACATCCTCATCTTCAGGCAGAAAGTCTTTCCAGCTGAGTCCAGCCTCCAGCCACATGGCTCCAGCTTTTTTGTGACTCTGGAATATAATAAAAGACATGCACATAATTCCTTAACTGCAGTGATTTTGGGTAACTCAACATTTGCCACAGTGTGATTCTCACCAGTCCTTTGCAGAAAATGTTAAGAACGTCAACAAGCAGGATGGCAGCTTTGCCCATAGGCAGTAGAGGTTTGGACACTTCCCTGTCAAACAAAACATTTGGAAAGGTCAAAAGGGTTTAGGTGTGCCTAGTCTATTTGCCCTGATGATTTAATATCTAAATCTGGAGTTTACAAAGAATAAATGTCTAACCTAAAGAGCTGGCCCATGGGGATGCCACCGTCCTGTAGCATGGGGGTGATGATTTCAGCCAAATAAAGCCAAATGTGGGGAATGTCAATAGCCATGTCATCTGCGATCTCAAGAATCTCCTGCAGTCTGGGGTGAGGGAAATTCAACATCCAAACGTGAGTATAGCGTCACACGCAACATTTAAATTGTTAAAATCATGAACATTATTTGTTGGCTTGAGTTATGTTGAGGCAAAAATTTGAATAAAAATATTAAAATGATGGATGCATAAAGAATGAGAAAAATCAGTTAAGCACAGCAACCGCAAACGTAGTTGATAAAAACAAATGCTGGATCATTTATGTATAACAGCATGTATAACTGCAGCAAATTTCCAATAGAAATCAGTCATTGCTGTAACTTTAACAGCTAGTTTCAGCCAAGCACCTGTGTTTTATTCCATCATGCATTTTTCCATTTGCATTTAATTGTACAAAACTCTAGAAAAAGAGTAAAGTGGTCACATTATGCTGTTAAAATAATTTCTTATCCTTGCCTTAAGAAAAAAAAGGAAAAAGGATAAAAGCAAAAGAACTGAAAAGAAAGAAATTCCCATAGTTTTCAACCAAAAACATACAGATTTGACAGGAAGGTAAAATTAAGATGTTTATAACAGCCCAAGTTGTAACTTAAAGATCGTACCAGGTAGGGCTGTGGAATTAATCGAAAATCCGATTTCAATTTCGGCATCTAACGATTATGAAAAAACAATAATCGAGATAAACGATTATTCCATTATTCACCGCCCCCTTTCTAGTTGTAAGTGTGTTGCTCTTAGAAGCACAAACTAAACTGCATGCTCCTGTGTGTGGAGCATGTGGTTTTGCTTCTGACTGTGCGCGCACACAGAAGCATGCGGGCTGCAGACGGTTGTGCTCATTCGCACACTGTGACGAGCAGAGCATCTGAAGTCATCTTAATGTGAGCACTTTAATGGTCAAATAGGTGTCAAAACGCAGTTAGTGATTATTCATATTAACTCTCAATATTAACCTTAAAATGGGTTTCAAAATATTTAAACCTGCTTTTATTGTAGCCGAATGTAAAAAAAAAAAAAAGACTTTCTCCAGAAGAAAAAATATTATAGGAAATACTGTTAAAATTCCTTGCTCTGTTAAACATCATTTGGGAATTTATTTATTCTCAGAAACGCTTCTAATTTTGGCTTCAACAGTAATCGATTTGAATAATTTTTCCCAAAATCGAGCAGCCCTTTTAACAGGAACAATAAAAAAATCATGTTTGCGCAAAAAAAAAAAAAAAAAAAAAAAAAAGGATATTTTAAACATTTTCTACCCTGACTGAGACTAAAGCCTGCATGAAAAACTCAGGATAGGTCAGTGGCCCAGACATAATATTAAAGACAGGGCACAAAACAGAGATCATCAGTGGAACAGGTGTTCTGTATGCGCATCCTGGTCATTTATTATTGCAGAGAATTAGCGCTGCACAACAGGCACGTGCACACATAGGGCTCAACCTGTGCAGTGCACATGCCCTTTTTAGTCTTGGATATAAAGTGCCCTTCCAAAATGATCAAAAGTGCCCCTGCGACGCGACACACCCTCCGTCCCGCCCTTCAGTAGGCGCACGGCAACACCGCTCTTGAGTACGTGCGCTCAACCCACCTCCCTCCCCCCGCTTAACAGTACGCACGTGACAACACAGCTGATCAGAACGTGCGCGACAACACCGACAACAAAAAACGTATCCTGTACATGCCCTTTGGACAGTCTCTGCACGGGCCTGCTGCACAATATATCTTTCAGCGTTGCAAGATGAGCATCTGCAAATGTCATATTTCAAGTCAGAATTATAAGTTTACCAGGCTCAACAATTAAGAAGACATGCGGTTTGGGTCATTGCATAGTTAACCATAATAGCGTGAAAGTTAGTCATCATTTGCATCCATTTTGTGACCGTAAACGTTTCAAACAAATTTAAAGTAATCATACATAAGAAAATTATAACATGCAGAGCTTTAAAGATTAATGTTATCAAATTATTCATAAGACTATATGATGTTATTTTGCATTTGAGAATTCAATTTCTTTTTGGCGATCCGTTTATCACGATCTATATAAACAAAGAAAAAAAATATTCTCAATATCCATTTTCCCCCAATATTGTGCAGCCCTACTCAGAATAACAAGCAATGACCAGCTGTAAACTCACCCCTTGTAGTACTGCTCTGGATGCAGTATTTTAGCGCTAACGAGCTTCTGAAACAGCAGGCCAATGTGCTCTCTAGCAATGGTGCTGCGCTCCAGCGTGGCCTCTACACCGTTCCGTACAAACACGAACAGCAGAGAAACACTGTTTAACTCCTGCACACACTGCACGGCCTCCTGCAAACACAGCAATGAGAAGCGGGTTAGTGGAAGAGATCTGCACAGGATTAAGAATGGGAGCAAGATCGGATATTTGTATGCAACGGCTCCTCAGTTCCTCAATCCCATCAGTGTAGATCAGTGGCCCAGACACGTGGCTCTTAATGAAGGTCATCAGTGGAGCGGAAATTCACAATAGGGCGAAACAAGTGGACATACAAACCTTCAGGTCATTGATGTGGAGATACTCTTCAATGATAGATTTGGACTTCTTGTCCAGGTCTTCTTCGCTCATGGCTGGTTTGACTGGAGCAGGCGGAGGAAGAGCAGGAGCCGCCATTGGCTTCACTGAAGAAGCAAAGCAAAGTGAAGTGATCAATTAGTGAAGCATCAGCTTAATGATCTGTGCTGCTCAAGCAGATTTGAACATGCATTCGAGTCTCACCAGTTTCTTTGCTTCTATCGCGGTCTCGACTTCCTCGGTCACGGTTGTCTGTCATGCTGGACACGCGGCGTACAGAATCTGGTGGTCCGCGGTTATCACCGCCTCTGCGCTCTTCACTTTCTCGGCTGAAGCTGCGTTTGGTGATGGCCTGAAGTGGTCTGTCCAGGCCTCTATCCCGGTCATCTCGTCGATCAAAACGGTCAAAGCGATCACGGTCACCACGATCTCTATCACTACGGTCCCTGCTAGAGCTGTTTCTGCACAGAGGACGACCATGACTAGATTACATTCATATTATTGTGACTATGTTGATTTGGGAGTGCACATTTGAAAGACTAAACCAAAAACACTTGATATACCTTTGAGGCACTCTACGATCAGAGTCCATTGAGGATGAGGACGACGAAGGTGGTCCAGACTGCTGCAGTGCAGAGAAGCGGTTGAGTGTGCTCGTGGTTGGTCGTCCCTGGTCTGCATCAGATAAGAGCACAGCTTTAGACTTGCATTTACTATAAAATACACGAAGGACTAGATGTTTACATTTCCTGATATAACGCTTGCCCATGGGGAAACTTGTACTATAGCATTGTGGGTGGGTGGTTGGTTGCTAAACTGCTGTCAAGGTTGCTTAAGGTCGTTTCTATAATGTTGTTGTGTTGTGTGATGGATAGGTCAAGATCATTTTAAAAATCCTGGTTTCTAGATGAGATTAATGGCCCACAGGCACTGTATATTCTCATTTATTATATATATATATATATATATATATATATATATATATATATATATATATATATATATATATATATATATTATCTATATTTGATTCAAATGAAAAAAAAAAAACTTTGTGATTTTTTTTTTACTTATTTACTGATTAGTTTTACTTTATTTAATATGATGCAAAAAATGCCAATCGCACAAATTTAAAATCAAGTTAAGTGAGAGGGGAATGCGAGGTCATTTCTAACATAACAATAATGTAGCTTTCTTTTTGTCCAAAGACATGTTCAAAATGTTTTGGAGAGCAGCCAAAAAAACAACAACAACATGAATAAAGATCTGAGCTTCTCCCAGTTGTGTGGGTCTAGGTTAAATAAGGCTTGGGCAAAAGCTTACCTTGTTCTCCAGTAGACTTTGCTCCTGTGCCTCCACTGCTCCCTTTACCCCAGCTGCCCCATGAGCCCTTGCCTCCTGGGGCCAGCAACTGGTTGTTGAAATCACCAGGCTGCAGACAAGACGGCGCAAGTGAGAATAGGGGCATCTAATTATAACTGAAAGCCAAGTCTAAAGACAAATATATACTTCTGCATCAAGTATGCACAGTAGGCATGGCATCTCCTTTCGCATACCCATGTTGTATAACCTGACGAGCAGCACTAATGTAAGAAATGCAACTTAGCAGTAAGTCATGAGAGGAGTGGTGCAAGTGTTTAACAATCGTCAACTCACAGAGATGACAGATTTTAGTTTCGTAGGCAGGGGCCGGTATAAAATTCTGATGGTATTATAACCTTGAATAAAAATGTCAGTTTCACAGTATCATGGTATTGTGCTCACTGCTCTAAAATATATTCTTTTTCTTTGTCTTTTAAAAAAAAAACATGGTATACCTTGAAAACAGTTATCGCCCCATGTTTAGTTTTCAGTTTACTTTATAGCGAAAAACAATATATGGCAACGGTACTGACATTTGTTCACAATGTTCATTAATTTATAAATGTAAAAGAAAAAAAATTAAGAATAATAATCTCCAGTAACACCAAGTTTTTCCTGATGAGTATTTCAATGAGTGCCCTTATAAAGAGTTACAGCTGTTGAATGTTTGCCAGTTTGCTCCTCTTTCTTTCTTGAATGAACGAGTTTAAGCTGCTGCTTCTTAAGCGTCGCACACATTTCCAGCATAAAACCCAAAACACCAAAGAAACTTGACAATGAAATGTGGAATCCCGACAGCCTACAAGTGTTTTGAAAGTGTCATTCCCAGAATAGCACAGACAGAACGCAGAAGTATAAATGTCCACAATGACATCGGCTACATGCAAGGTATGCTCAGTGGATTACACCAATCACTCGATGCACAGGTGTAAATCAGACTTAAGAAATATCACATATTACAGTCAGACGCTAATGTTTACCTTAGTAATTTTGCTGAGGCGACTGGTGTCAATCGGTCTGCTCTTAGTGGTAATAGGCACTATGTTCCATCCCTCATCCTGGGTCTGGCTCCCGCGGCCCCCAGAAGAGTGTGGCCCACCACGACCCCCACGACCCTGACTTGAGTCTTTCTTAGACAGCAGCTGCTGTTGGACTTTGATTTGCTCTCTGTGTTCCTCCAACTCTGCCTCTTTATGGATCTGGTCAATGGTCTTAGGGCCCTGATCTCCTCTCCTGGGCACCCAGTTGTTCTGTGAGACAGAGAACATTTGAATACAGTTAAAAGAGAAGATGTAACGCATGACTTACTGCACACACGACTAAATTAGTTAGTTTATACTAAGCAGATTGTTACCTTTCGCAAGTCCAAAACATCCTGAAGCATGAAACGGATTCTAGATGATGTCTTCTTCTCTTTAATGATCTTCTCCATCTGGTGGAAGTACTGATCCATACGAGGCTGCAAACAAGAAGCCAATGTTAAATCGGAGCAAAACAAAGCAAAAACAGAAGGCGCTAATCTAAATGATGGTCAAAAATGTTATACACAGAGCAAACAGGAAATTGGATTATAACAGAATGAAGCTCATAACTTGTGAAAGTTTGTCAGGAGGTAAAACTAATTTGTACCTTGGCCTTCTCAAAGTCTAAGTCTTTGCCAATGGTGGACAGCAGCCGGCAAAGGCACTCTAAGCTGTCCTCATCATGGTTCTTCAAGAGCTTGACAATGCAGTCGTGCATGATGGGCTCTGTCAGCATTTTCAGCTTGAACAGCTCGCCGATGAACTTGATGTTTCCCAGCGACCGTTTGCGTGCTTTGTCCTTGGCATCTTGAAGCTCGTCATTCAGGCGCTGACGCTCCTCTTCCTATGGCAAAAAATAAAAATTGTTCGAATTTCAGCAGAACCATTTCAGTCACTACAGAATGAAAATGTGTTGATGCTTCACCTCAGTAGCAGCATCCAGCTCCTTCTGTTTCTGCTCAAAGATCTCATCATCATCCTTGTCCTTTTCAAACTCCTTCTGACAGCGGTTCAGTAGCAGTTTGCGGAAATTCACAGTGACTCCCGGTTTGTCTGAAGTGGGGACTTTAAGCTGAAACAAAACATTTATTCAACTATTATTAACAAGAAGCAAGGTCACATTTTAAAACAGTAATCGTTTTTAAGTGATGTAACGGATAACAAATCTCACGATTCGGATCAGTGAATGGTTTTTAGTCGCAGATTGAACCATTTTTCGGATCAGCCAAAAAAAGACAAATGTATAATCTGCTTTCTATTTTTTTTTTTACAAAAAACAGCCCTGCAAGACACTTTTGGTTTTAACAAACAGAATTTAGAGCCTGTCATTTAAAAAAATAAAAATTAAGAAATAATCAGCTGTATAATATATATTGTAAAATATTGAAAAATTCACTGTTACTACTACTGTTGCAGCTAATGCTAAATGTAGAAATCTAACATTATAATTTGAACAACATTTAATTATTTTTAATCTCATTTTCAATAAATGATTTACTTTTTCACTTATAAAACTTCAGGTATCATGGCTGATGTATAATTTGTGAAAAATTATTCAGTGGTATATTTTTCATGTTTGGTTGGTCGCCACCTCTTGTTTAAATAATGCAATTGCTGCCTACAACTTCATAAACTCAAAAGACTAAAAGATAAATCTCTTAATTTTTGCGGTTTCAGATTTGGATGCAGTGATTTGAAGGATTGATAAACATCTGCAATACATCATCATTTATAATTTGTTGCGTGGTAGTTGACTTCACAATCTTTTAATAATTAATCGTGCAGCTTACATTGAATGCATTAATGCAGGCTAAACAAATAGTGACAGAAAACACCTTTTATGAAACCCACCACATGTCGAATAACCTACCACAACTTCTTCCATCATCATTATATTTTACAAGAAAGCCGAAATGCTTTCATACATGTGATTTGAATGATGCGAGAAATGACCTCTCTGTGATCGTTACAAATTTAGAATCAATCTACAAGTAAAAAAATTTATTTAATCTGCAGGTCAAGTGTGTTCCGAACCGCAAGTTGTGATCTGTACGGATCAACCGTGTTCCGTTACACCCCTGGTATTTAACAGGCTAAAACTGCAAACAGAAGCTAAAAGGTGAACCAGTGAGGTTTACTCTCATTTCTGAAGTACGACTACACTTCAATTGATTAACTTTGAGCTGTGTAGGTGCATCGATTCTTACAGAAATAAGATGTTTTATTTATTCAATAAACAAAGTTTCCTGAAAAAAATGCTTGATCTATTTACGTTTCTTTTAAAAACTTCTTGAAGTGTACGGTTTGGTGATTTGGAGAAACCGAAACACTCCCAGTAATTATTAATAGAATTGCAATTTGTGTGATTTTAAAATGAACAACAACAATATGGCTTCATGTTTTTTTTGAGTGCCAACCAAAAGAAAGCTCTTCAGATCCTCATTACCATTACAATACATCAGTGGCACAAAACAGGTCATCAATGAAGCAACAGACACGAGCAACCCTGCAGAAAAAAGTTACTTACCCCCATAAGGCACCGGCACATGTTGGCATAAGCTACAGAGAAGTTGGGTTCAGAGATGGCTTTCTCGAAGATGAGGTCAATGACACCCTTGAGCCTCTCTTCAGTGTCTATGGCGAGCTCGGTCACCTGCTTCATCAGCTGCTGGAACATCTGTGGTGTGAGCTTGTTCAGGACACTGCGCACACGGCGGAACAGCTCCTGTGTTTTAGCGGCTTCCGCATCATCCTCCTCCTCTTCTCCACGACTTCGTACTTGCTTCTTGACCGAGGGTGTCCAAGCGTTCTCAGCCTGGTTGAGCTCAATGTTGTCTTTGAGAGAAACGCTGGTGATGATCTTGGGGTTGCGACTGATCTGGTCTTTGCCTCGACCCGGCTGAGGGCGCCGTGCAGACTGAAAGGAGTTCAACATTTAAAAATAAATGACTGACCTCAACACAGAGTAAATATTTTAACTATTAAAATCCTATGACTAAAGAAACTGAACTGACCGGTCCTCGCCCTCCTCCTCCGGATGACTGCCGACCCAAGTTAGCATATGAAGGTGTGAAATCAGGCCCACAGTTCATCAGACTCCTGGGGTCCAAGGGCCGCAAGGGGGTTTTATTTGCCTGTTATACAAACAACAAGTGAGTGAATGTAACTTTAAAAACTAAACGGCACAGGATAAATTTGAGGGGTCCAGATGCAAGGTTCACCTTGTCCAAGACAACATCACTGATGTGTGGCAAACCCTCTGGCTTGTGCATGCTTGCACTAATGAACTGAAAGCCAAGCAGGAACTCTCGATCATATCGTTTCTTCTCCTCTGGGTTGATTGGTTTCCATTGTTCTGTTAGGGAAAAAAGTTGCAGGATAGACCAAAATGAGACATTTAGACAATGCGACTGCCTTGCACAAGACAAGCTACACACCATCGTCAACAAAACACCATCTTCAGCTAAAAAGAAAAAACCTTCTGCACATTTCGGCTATTCACTTATGCCTAGTTCAGACTGTGTGATTTTAGCCGCGATTTCGGCTCGCCCCAGGTTTTGAGAAATCGCCGACAAATGCCTGAAATCACAGGCAAATCGGTGCTCGTGCATGTGAGTGCCAATCACACAGTATGAACCATCAAAGATGCGATCTGAGAGAATCGCCGATGAGTCAAATCATGCCGTACGTATTTGCACAACGTATTTGAGGACCGGCAGGGAGACACAATTTCCGGGAGATTATCATTCGTTTGCAGGCATTCGGTAGTCTCTGTGCATTTGCGGAAAACTCCCAGAACTTCCGGGAGACTTGGGATGTCTGGAATGACCTTCCACCCTACTCTTAATTCTCTCTTCGTATTGCCATATGCCTATTACATATCCATAAAACACTATGAAATTGCCGTGCTTGGATCATATCGCTTTCTTACTACAATCGATCCGCTCCAGAGTTCGTTTCAATCAAGCCGAGACCACCTCATTCAGGTGATCTCGGAGCGATTGTTTTGGCGCGGATCCGAGCGCAATTGCTGGATTTACATATGCCAAACGAACCATGCTAACTAGGCAATGGAGACAGGTTCCGAAATAAAAGTCTAGATGTGAAACCACCCTTAAACTACAACTTTGAGGGGGGGAAATGGTGGCAAAGTGTTTGCTTTGAACAATAACATTTTACTTAAAATGTGATTTTTTTTTTGTGAATACTGTGATGTTTCACATATGCATTTAACAGGTTAAGTATTGGCGCACAACATGACATGCAAAACAATGAATGTGCGTAGACGTAGTGTATCTCTTTACAAAACATATCACTGGCAAGCACACAATGCATAATTTGTAAATTATTAAATTAGTTTTAACGGGAATCTTTTTGACAGCAGTTGATTGTAAATGTAATTAATCAAAAACGAAATGAGTAAGCATGTAAATGTATTTTAAAGTCAAGTCTTGATACATAAAATATCAAGTTCTAAGTTAAGGTAGGTTAATGGTCATTTTTCACCCCTATTCTCACCAAATTATACCAAACTTTGTAATTAAAATTTGCTTGATTCAAATAATAAAGGTTTTGTCAGCTCCTAATTTACATGTTATTATCAATTCTAAAGGATCATATGATTGTGGAGAATAGAAAAAGGAAGCTGAAATTTTTCCTTTAGTTTAAAACATTGAAAGAAATTAATAAATAATATAAAACTTGACCAGTTTTACTGATCGGATAAAGACTTTATCAACGCAAAACAATGCTTTAAAATTCCCCCCTGAATTAAAGCGCTCCTATAAGAGGATGAGTGATCTTTAATGAAGCTTATTTAACTTTGCTTCTAACCTTCTTTATATTGATATTTCTGTTCCACAGGTTTAGATGCCTCTGGCTCAATATTTTCTGTGTCGAGCTTGTCCTCTTTTTCCTCCCATGTTTCATCTGTCTCTTCCACTGGTGGGGCTGGGGGCTCTTTCTGAACCACCTCTGGCTCAGGAGCTGGCTTCTCCTCCTCTGGCTGAAACGGGTACACAAGATTCTTAAATCAAGATGCACACACACAAAAAAAAAAAGAAAAAAAAAAGAAAGAAAATAAAAACGTAATAAAAAAATAAATAAAAAAAAAAATCACAAAAGGTGCTACTGTAAAAACAAATGTATAATGACAGCACAAACCTCCTTGAAGGCATCTAGAACATCTCCAACATCCTTCTTATTCAGATCCTTGATCTTCTTTTTCTTCTTTAGCACTATTGGGGAGGCAGCTAGGGAGACAGTAACTAGAGTCAAACTTGGAAAGGAGATAAACAAATAATATTCTTTACAATCCTAATTTAATAATTTACCAACCTTGCATAGTTGTTTCTTCAACAAGGCAGACTGGTGCAGGGGTGGGGGCCTCTTCCGCTTTCTCCTTTTCGGTTTCCTCCACAGATGCTTTAACAGCTGTAAGGCAGCTCTGCTGGTCCTGTGGAACCACTTGTTCAGCAACTGGATTAGCGGAGCTCTCTGGCTTTACATCTGGAACCTCTGCAGAGTCCTGGGGCAAACCGTTTAACAAAGGCTGTTCCTTTGGCTCATCGGCAGCCAGTTCTGGAACGGGCATCTCTGTGATTACAGGGGCACCATCACGATCTTCAGCTACATTAGGAGAAGACTCCACCGCACTGGAGGCGACAACAGCTGGACTTGAGGCTGCTGTAACTTCTGTTTCAGCCACAGGTTCATACTCTTTCTCCTCGGCTTCCTCTGGCTCCACAGGAGCACAGGGCTCCTTGGGCTCCTTCTGAGCAGAGGCTTCAGGGAGCACTGGAGCATCCACACTGTCTGCAATTTGAGGCTCTGAAGTTTGGGGATTGTTTGCAGGAGGAGGAGAAGGAGAGGGTACCACAAGATCCTCTTCTGGAGGACTGGGAATCTTGCTCTCTGGTGAAGCAGGTCTGACTTCTGACTCGGGTTTAGAGTCGATGGATGAAGGTGCTGGGGGCTCTGGTGTCTTACATGGAGGAGGGGTGGACGCAGATGCAGGACTTACCATGGCCTTCACTTCATCATCTGAAGATCAAGCAGAGTAAACATTATTAAAAATAAAAATAAATTCTCTAACCAAAATGGATGGTTGACAAAAATGAAAATGATAAAAATGACAAGCTGCAGAAATTTCTTAAATTATTACACTGATGTCTGGAATACTCAATTCTGATTGGTCAGTTGTGACATTCGAAGGTATATTATTCCCAGTTAACAACCGCTGAATAGCAGATGCTCATTTGGTAAACTTCAAAATCACCATGACCTGTGTTCACATCCATATATTAATATCCAAATTAAAGTGTTACATTATGTAACACCGCTGTTTTTGACTGTTTGGCCCCATCTTAAGAATGAATAATACATAGGTTGATCTATGCTCCATTTAACCAGTTTCATTTCTGCTTGGTGTTTGGTACCATCTTGTGACTGAACAATGTGCAAGTTAGTTCCATCAGCTCTAGTCAGCTGTTTTAGTTTCTGTCAGCTTTGCTTTAGTTAAATTAATAGACTGTTATGACTCAGAACAATGTTTTGTATCAAATGTTTTTGTTTTGGGGCAATAAGCGAAATAAAGTATGTCAGACTGTTGTTTTTGTCAAATTAAGCTCTTCAGTCTTCTACAATCAGTCTTATCTACTGTATCAGGCTGCTGCTAAGCCTGTTAGTAAAACTGCAGATTGATGGTAACATCTAAGCCCCACAGTAGTGACAATACACCACTGAAGTAAATCTTTGCCATTAATTGTACTTTTAGCAACATTTTTAAAATAAATACATTTAAAATAAGTGTTTAATAGAAAACAATGACACTTTTACAGGTTTAACTTTTTTAAATTGGTCTGGAACACAGTGAAAACTCCATCAACTCAAAAGTATGTTAACTCTGAAATGAGACTCTTGGTTTTCCGTTTTTAAATGGCAGGTTTGGCAAACTCAAGAAAGCAGGGTAAGCCAAGCCTGTTTCTGAAAGAGAACTTTTACTCAGACACATGAGTGCACATTTAAATCCATTTAAAAACTCAATTTTAGAAATTTTATCCTAAACTGATCAATGCGAGTAAAAGTGGGAATCTTAAATTAAACATTTCTGAACATCAAGTTTAGGTTATATGCATTCTTGTTTTGTCAAATTTGCAGTAGAAAATATGCAGTAGCCTATTTTATACGATTTAATGCAATTACGTCTGAAATTACTTTCAAATTACGGCCAACTCCCCACTTTAAGTGAAAAGTCAATAAACGTCACATTACATTATTAATTTTTTATTATTCTTCAATATTTAAATACTTTAAACGTAAACTTGCACAATAACTTAAATAGCTATGTTTTCCACACTCAGTCTCTGTTTCGCTGATACAGTGGTGTTGCTTTTTTTTTTTTTTTTTTTAAATATATGGTTGTATTTGTTGCATGAGCACATCAGGTTCAGCTGGAGAAAAATGCTGATCTCTTTTTTTTCAGATGTTGCCATGGTGACTCATTATCTACGCTCCATTGATAATACCTTTTTATAATTGCAGTGTGCACGCTTAACTCTGAATCAGTCTACTCAGACTTGATTGACCCAACTCCTATCCGCTTTTCTGAAACAGAACTCTTAAGTTTTTAATCTCTTAGTAAGTCAACTCAGTTTATAGATTTAAACTTCCAGTTGGTTCAACCTCCTTATTGAAACATTCCTTATTTTGAGGTTATTGATGCATACGCAAGTGGATAAATCCAATCTATCAGACATGGAAATCACATTTGAAACTTGCCACTTTTTTCAGGATGGAAAAACAGTTTTGGCAATAATGTACTTTTTTTGCTTGTTATTATTATTATTATTATTATTAAGAATGTATACTCACCAGTGCTGATCTCAGCAGGAAAAGTTGGAACGCTTTCACCATTGGTCTGAACTGGACTTCCCACTTCTGTACCAGCAGTCTGGAAAAACAAAACAAAACAATGAACTCATTGTAATATAAATGAGCATGGCATAATGAACAAAAGCATGAAAGTGTCAAACCTGTGGAGGAGTTGGTGTGGAAGTCGTTCTTCCACCAGACATTATCTCCTCTGTGATATCACGTCCACCCTGGTTGGGGTCACGTATCCTTATCTGTTAAGCGGCATCAGGTAAGTGACAAAAAAAAAAAAGTACTAAATCGAAAAACACAGCAAAAGTCGTTTCCACCCACCTGTTTGCGTTCTCTGGGTTTGACTGGCCCTGTCGGCTGTGGAGCAGCTTGCTGTGGAAGTGGAGCCTGTTGCTGCTGAGCAGGGTTCATCATCACAGGTGTAGGAGGCACTGGCGTTTGGTACTGCTGTGTTGCAGGGTAGTAGGCAGCTGCTAGACCACAAATAAGGCAAAAAAAAGACAAGATCAGACACCAAGATAAGACTTTTTGCTGTAATGGGAGGGGGACCCACATGCAAAGTACCCCCCTACCCTGTAAAATCACTTCCAGACTCCCTGAGGAAAACAAAGAAAAATCAATATTTCATTAACATAGCTTCTTTCTATTCATAATAAAAGGCTAATTCACCCAAAAACTGTAATAATCATCCTCAGGTTGTTTTATACACTCAAAACTCTAATTCATCCTTAATGCCACTCCATTGAAGGGTCCAGAAAGGTAGTAAAAATTGCGTTAAAAAATGCAGGCTCACAAGAGCATTTCTTGTACTACTTCCTCGATACAAGACAGCACCACCACGCATTCGTGCTTTGTTCACACTGGAGCTGAGGTACAGGTAGGGATGCAACGATATAGATTTTGGTTGTACGATTAGTCTGAGAAATAATCATGGTTATCATGATTATTATGCATTCATTCATTTCAAAGTAAAAAAAAAAAACTTAACATAAAAACTCCTCATATTTGAAAGAGTTATTTATTGCTGCTCAGTAACTAAATACAGCACAAAATAATAATAATAAAAAAACAATAGTCCCTAAAACTATTTCCCTTTTGACTTAGAAATATGTGAAAACTAATTTTTGGCATAAAGTAATAAATTAAGTAATAAAGTAATAAATTAAGTAATAAATTTACACTGAAAATAAATGACAGAACAATGAATAAATGAATAAAAATAAGAATAAATAATAAAAATAGTCTAATGCAGGGGTGTCCTAACTCAGAGCTAGTTTAGTTACAGCAGTTTGTTCCATGAAACGTGATGTTGAGAAGCCTTTATGATTATTAACCATGTCAAATTAAAGCACGGCATCTCTACATACAGGAAGTGATGTATTGTGTAATAACACAATTTGTGGCACTGTTGTGCACAAAGTAGAAGTTGTAAACGTCAAAAAATAGTTTCTTTTTTCACCTCATTGCTTCAGAAAATTATTTGAACCCTCCACTGTTTGGGCAAATAGGCTCATTTTGTAATCCTCTACAGTTAAATAGGTGATTTTTACCATTTTTGCTTCCAGTCAGTCAATCTCTGGGTCTGGTAATTATTAATATTATTAATATGATGAAAAGTGGAGTGCTCCTTTAAAGCTGAGGTATCTGAAGTCACAAGAACTGCTTAGAGGATGCTTTCACTTCGTTTCAGGAACACTGAAGTGGCAGTGTCATAGGCTGTGTCAATGGAGAGGAAGAAATCTAGCAGATCTTCAAATGTATATGGAACAACATGAGGGCAAGTAAAGACAGATTTGACATTTTGGGTGAACTAACTCTTCAATAACCATCATAAAAAGATAACCCGAAAAGTTTGCACCCAAAGGATGAAGTAGCATTACGTCACAGGTTACATGCGTCTGGTGGTGTTAAAACATAACCAGCCAAAGCTGAGATACAGACAAGAGGTGCAACACAAACAGCCCTGAGCTTCCGACTCACCAGGATAGCGCTGGGAGGTGAGAGGAGCTCCGTGCAGTGAGAGACGTCCGTTCTCCCTGCTCGTACCTCTCCCCCCACCCCCCCGCCTCTCCCTCCCAGCCAGAGAGGGGTCTGAACTCAGCCAAAGGAGAAGGGAAGAGAGAATGAAAGAGTGAGAGAGAGTGAAAAAGAGAGAGACAAAGATTGAGAGTGAGTAGAGGAAACAACAAGCAGCACCGAATGGGGTTAGTGAGCCAAAATTCTAAGCAGACAAAGGGCAGAACTAAGCATTGGGTGGCGAGTAATAACAGTAATTTTATACAATGCTAATGACTAAGAAACTTTAATTCCCCCCAAAAAATAAATATCTCCATTTCTTGGTCGAACTAGGTGGATGTTCAAAGTACTTTCCTGAACATATACAGGTAAAATGTTATTCCAAAAATCAAATCAAACAAAAAGCAATAAGAATTGTCAGTTTTTTAAATCATTAATAGTACTGAACACCAGGGCTGCTCCATTTTGGTAAAAACCCTAATCACGATTTTTTTAGTCAATTGTAATCACGATTATTCAAAATTATTATCAGTTGAAGTCAAAATTATAAAAAATGTTGTCCTGAAAATATTTTTTAAATAAATATTTCTCAAATGATGTTTAACAGAGCAAGGAAAGTTAACAGTATTTCCTATAATATTTTTTCTTCTGGAGAAAGACTTTTGTTTTATTTTAGCTAGAATAAAAGCAGGTTTAAATATTTTAAAACCCATTTTAAGGTCAATATCATTAGCCCCCTTAAGCAATGTATTTTTTGATGTCTGCAGAAGAAACTACTGTTATACAATGACTTGCCCAATTACCCTAATTAAGCCTTTGAATTGCACTTTATTCTGAATGCTTGTATTTTGAAAAATATCTAGTAAAATATTATTTACTGTCATCATAGCAAAGATAAAATAAATCAGTAATTACAAATAAGATATCAAAACTATTATGTTTAGAAACAAGAAAAAAAAAACTTTTCCATTAAACAGAAATTGAGGAAACAGGTTGATAATATTCAGAAGGGCTAATAATGACTTCAACTGTATATTAAGTTATTTTCCACCTTGCATAGGGAAAGAGAAATAAATACAATAGAATAAAAACATGAAACAAACTGTGCTTTAAGCATCTTCACTGTAAGAAAAACCCTTTAGCTACAAAAGTCCTTCAGTCAAGAGCAGTGAGGGATTTTCTGCTTTTGTTTGATTAATAATAAAAACAGGCGGCAGCGGGAATATTTTGCGCGTTCACTTTAATGGTTTCTCTTTCACGCGTCTTTTGATTTTCAACTCGTTTGTTTATTACACAAATGAGGGTTAATATGAATAATCACCAAACACCGCGTTTTGACACCTATTTGACCATCAAAGCACCCACGTTAATGACTTTAGATTTGTGCGCTACGCTCGTCTCGGTGTACGAATGAGACCAGATGCTGACGGCATGCTTCTGACTGTGTGTGCACGCCGCACACACAAGCATGCGGTCTTTCACGCTTTTAAGAGCAACAAATGTGTACAACTGGAAAGGGGGCGGTATATGATGCAATAATCGTTTATCTTGATTAATGGTTTTTCATAATAGTTAGAGGCCAAAATCGAAATCGGATTTGATTAATTGCACAGCCCTACTGAACACATTTATCTGAACACAACCCATGTAGCTTACATGGCAACAGCAATAGACTGGTCATACCAGACGCCTCAAAGTATTGGTCCTATTTGAAGCATGTCAATTTAACAAGACATTGAGTTTATTGTGAGAAGTCACTTACATTGTGCTGTATAGGAACCAGTGATTATAATTGGTTTTAATGTCTTTAGTCGCATAAAGTCAATTGTGTTTGGTGTTCATTGCTTATTGTGAATCTACATATTAGTCATCCAAATAGGCTTGACTGAATGAAAACATCTTGGTTTGAAAGGGACTTGTGAGTGATGCTTTATATTTAGTTACACTATTGATAAATGTGTTGATTTCTGCAGAATTTTGTCAAAAGTATTTTGATTTTGTAACCAAACCTTTAAGCACAAAATTTTCATTCCTAATATAGAATAATAGTTAATATATGGGGAAAATACACATTAAAACTGGTCAATGAGTCAAAGTGTGGTTAAAAAAAACAAACAAAAAAAAAGTTATGAACTTCCACTGTATGGATAAAAACACCAGAATCTTATTGTCTTTAACATGTTTTATGTAGTTGAAGAAAGTCAAAGTTTTTAGATGACAGACAATTTTAGGTGGACTATCCAACTATCTAATTGAAATTAATGTAGTTTAACACATATAATTACATGGTATATAAATGCATTTCCTTATTTTGAATGCATGGTGTTTACATTAGTATATATAACAGGTCAGTTTTTGAGGTTTATGCAACAAATGTTTCAGAAAACCTCCAAAAGGCTAAACTAATGCACATGTTCTACAGACTGGAAAAAAGTGGCATTTGACCAAAAGGAGCAAGATAAGCAAGACAAAACACATGGCACAGTAAAAACAAAAGAGGGTTGGGTGGTCAAACAAGCAGGGGAGGCCCAGAGAAGAGCCTCTTACCATATGTACCGTATTCAGCTGGACTGCTTCCACCATAAAAGCCTGCAGTTCCACTGGACACAGGGAACTGTTGGGTTGGGGGCATGTAGGGGGAGCGGAACTGCGATAGAAAACAAATCGGTATTAGACGCATGAACCGCTTTATAAAAACAGCACAGAGACGGATTGGGAGTTACCTGTCCATGTAAATATATGGGATGGCCCTGAGAGTTAGCGGCGAACTGCAACTGTTGCTGGGGAATCATCATAACCTGTGAGGTAGGTTGGTAGACATGAGTAGGTGCAACAGGCCGGGTGGTGTTGCTGGTTGGGACCCGAGGGGCACTGCCTTGCATGTTGGGTCGGTTGGTGTAGTATGGCTTTTGAGAAGAGAAAAGAAAAAGGCAAAGTCAGAAAACAAGCTGTACATGGGCAAACGGTTTCTGTTACTTCAAACATTACTGACTTTTACACTACATTTGAAGTTGTTTTATACACTACATACAAACAGGGCCGAATGTAGTTATGCTTGTACATTGAAATGTAGCATCTGGGATGCTTTAAACCTAGCAATTAAACCTCTCTTAAGAAAATGCAAATTTAGATTTTAAACAGCTTTTAAAACACAAGCAGCCTCTGGCAATTAGGGCTAAAAATCTTCAGAATTTGATAGAGACATTTTGGAAACGGTTTATAAAGCTCAGTTCCTCTTTGTCTGTGTCTGCGTTCTCACACTAGATTTATAAGTAGGCAAATACCCGGCCAAATGTAGTTATTTTTAAGCATTTAAATGCAGCATCTTAAATGCTAAAAGCCTAGCAACCATGGACCTTTTCTTAACACAGAATGGGGTGTATATGCACAGACACTTCTAATTTCAGTCAGCCAGCCCCAGGGTTTCAGGTTAATTGTCATTCTATACAAAAATCAGCATGGTAAAGATCTGATTTCTTCAAGAATCAGTGATCTTCATTGCCTGGCCGATATACGATATAAAGTGGGTATCGGACCAAACCAGAAGCACTGCATTAAATTCTATATTTTTCTGCGCCATGTCTTTAAATTATGGAAACTAATTTTACCCTAGCGTTGCCTACTGCTAATGGCAGTGCCTGCATTTAAACTGTTTATCGTCTCTTTTACGCTTTAACAACCAAATGGATACTTAAGTCTATTTAAATTATAATATTTGAATTACATTACAACATCAATGCTGTAAAAGAAACCTATTGAAATTGAAAATATTGTTACATAAAACTTCCATTGGCTGAAAAACACTAGCTGTGCATAGTAAATTCAATTGCTGACATGAACTAATGTTATATTGCTCAATTTACTTAAATTAGTAGTAGAGGTTTAACTAAGCTTCCAGAATGCTTTTTTTGTTCTTGGATTTCATTTACACTTGATGAATAAAAAATAAGGCCAAAGTGACTGCCAACTATTGACCAGACATGCAAAAAAATAAAAAATAAAAAATGTGAATTGATGTAAACAAGAATCAACTATGCATTTAAGAAGAATTTTGCCAGATTTAGTACATTAGACATGCAACCAAACACTTAACATTTGCAATGCATCAGTATAAGTTGCTCTGCTTTGAACATTTTATGTAGCCGTTCATATACAACAAATACTCTGCAGAGTGCAATTACACGGGCTGTGGACAAAGGGATAGGAGTAAGGGCCAGTTACCTGCAGTGACCTGAATCCACCCTTCAGCCACACAAAATAGCAGAAGAAATAGAGTGTAGAGAAGGCGTGAGAGAGAGAAAACAGACAAGCAGCAGCAGTAAACATTAGCCATTAGCAGTAAAAACAAGCTTTCCACATGCACAGTTATAAGAGTCTCAGAAATAGTGCAAAAGAGGTCAATAGCACAGAGAACAAGATGTCAATGGGGAAAGGTTGAGATTTCAAACAGCTAATAAAACACATGCAGTCTCCAACAATTTGGGCTGAGATTGAAAAATCTTCAGAATTTGAGACATTTTGCTAACTAGTTTACAAACGCAGTTCCTCTAACAGCTCTAAAGTCTGCGTTCCTAAGCAGAAGCAAGATGGCATTAACAGTGCTAAAGATTTTTTGAAACCACATTTACATTCTGCACATTTACACAACTGGTTAGTGAAAATTATTTAAACTAAAATCTGATTTATAAGAACAATGTATCAAAACGTCTTGTATGTGTATACAAATGAGACTCAGATTGCATATACTGGGAACAAAACTTCAAATAGACTCACACCAAGTGCCATAATCATAATTGAACCACTGCACTGTAACTTCTAATGATTAAAAGTAGTTCAGTTATTTTCTTTATATGAGCTAGTTTAACAAACTATAATAAAAAAAAACTCACAGGGGACTAAGGTGAGTGGTTTTGTGGCAGGTTTATAGTTTAGTTACATGTAATAAGCAAATTAATGTAATAGAACTTATAAATTTGCTTTATCTTTGAGGCAGGTTTGGGTGCTTCCTACAAATTATTGAAAAACCACCTCAATTGGAAACAAAAAACCTATATTATACCCAACCCCATTGACAATGGACACAAATACACAAAGGTTGACAAGAGGAGCATCTAGATGCAAGAAAACACAAAGCCAATCAAACAAACTTTGTTTTAGTACAGAAACAGAATTGTAATCTCAAGCAGGCATCAGTTTATGAAAATTGGAAGTACCTGTTGGTGTAAAGCGCGAGGCCCTGGCGCAAACTGCGAGGAAAGTAGAGTCAAAAAGGTCAAAGTTGAGATGCAAAAAGATGACAGAGTCAGCCAAACATGCATCATTTTTCCTCAAACACAAGCAGGAATTAGAAGAGCCAGCTAGGCCACAAAAAAGCACCAAGCACTGTGTCTGCATGTGTTGAAGAGTATCAGGGTATTTAAAGAGTGTACCTGTCTGGGTTGTGGTGCAGTGTTCATTTGTGGAGATGGCCCAGGAAAGACAACCGAGGAAGGCTGGCCTGGGGGATAGGCAGCCTGTAGAGCAAATAGAAGCACGGGCAATGTTAATAGCAATGCAAATCATCCTGATCACAACTATAAGCTTCACCATTATGGGTTTTACCTGTGTCAGTCCTGGAGATTGGGCAGGGTGGGGAACAGCAGGGGGTCCTGTTATAGGCTGAGGTGGTTTATTCATTTCCTGTGGTTCTGCATGAGGAGGCCTCACACTTATCTGCCAAACTAGCAAGTAAACAAAACACAATGAATAATGGGAATTAGGAATAACACAATACGATCACATTTTTTAAAAAGAAAATTAGACTGCTGTTGGCCACTTACAAAAAAAAACATTGCATGTCCATGTACGTAAAATAAATACAGACAATGAATAGTGCAATAAATACAAATTTTACCTATAAATTAGTATACTTGATCTCAGGGGTTGTTGAACCTTAGGTACTTGTGTAGTGTTCTTCAGCAATTTACACCTGGACAAAAACAACAGGTGATTAGTCTATTGTTAGATTATTGTTATAGATTAGTCTATACAAGTTTTACACAGAGCATACGGAACACAAACCGTATTTTACACTTCAATAATTTTGACTAGTGCCTGGTCATAAAACTTTTTTAAAACTTATAACTGTCTAAACAAAAAAAATTAAGATAATAATAATGGTAAGTTATCTAGGGCTGGACTGTTTGATGGTATTGCGTAGTCAACATCTGAAGTGGGTCCAAAAAAAAAAAAAATCAAAATTGGCCTGCGACAATGAGTGTTGTTCAAATGCTTTAGGACAACTGATGAAAAGGTGTTGCACAAATGTTGACTACTGGATATAATTACTGCAGATTAAATTGTCAACCATATTTAATCTTTTTATTCTATGTTTAGCCCAACATATAAATAAACGTACGAGGCTAACTTAAGTGCAGTATTCATGAGACTGAGGGAAGCGCTGACTGAAGCCTGATTTATACTTCTGCGTCAGGTGACCGGCGTAACCCACGGCGCATGCAACGCGCGTGGCTGTGCATTTACACTTCTGCGCGCCGTCTCTGTCGGTCTGCATTAACACTTCCGAAACGCTAGTTGGCAGTGAGGAGTAAATGTTCCTCTGTGTCGATTTTTTTCGCGGCTTTTTTGCTTTTCCTGAACACTTCCGGGATGTACAAGTGGCTCAAACTCGCTCATTTTGAGGTAGGAACCGGCGGACGTGCAACAACTTTGAGGTAAACACAAAACAAAACTTTCCATCCGGAGCTCCTTCACGGTACTCCACACTTGTAAACAATCGCTCGCGCCATTCACGCGGCTCTCGGTCCTGTCTCGTCAGGGCTACCAAGCCGACCAATCACAGAGCTTACGCTACGCGTCGTTGCGACGTGTAGTTACATTTTTTGAGAGGTGCACGTCAGTGACGGCGACGGCGAAGGGCTATGCGTCAGCGCCGTAGCATACGCCGGCGTTTGACGCAGAAGTATAAATCAGCCTTGAAGCATCAGTTGAGCAATCTGAGGTGAACCACTAAGAGAGATTAAGATTAATTGTTTTAGACTTCTAACTTGAAACAGAGAATATGAGTTCAGAAAAACTTGATGTACAATATTCCAAACTAACTGCCAGCGAACAGCCTCCCCCAGGCCCTAATGCTTATCCGGTAGCATGGCTAATTCCCATGCAGGCACAGTAAAGATTAGGAAAAAAAATAAGTGAAATACACAAACATGTTATGCCATATAATTGTTTTGTTTGATATATTGGTAAGAACATGAGTGTCTATCGGTCTATTGTCTGGCGCAGTGCGCCTGGCTTACACACTCCAAACAATATACAAAGCAATACGCAAATATCTTTAAATATAAAAAAAATATAATATATTAAGGATACATATAATAAGGATATATATATATATATAGGATATAAATATAAATGATTAAAATATTACAAAACAAATTAATTTCTAGCCTACATAAATTTAAAAACCACTGCCTTACTTTCTTCATCTCGGGAGGCTTTTTCAGTTTATTCAATTTGCTTTTGTTTAATGTTATTATTATTATTATTAGCATTATTATTTATTAAATCCATATGTATATTTGTTTTATTAAAAACAAGCTCAGATTTGTCCACCTGTCAGGTTTTAGATTATATGGGGCATAGCAGGTGTATTTGGAAATAACTCAGTATTTTGACCACACTTTGTTAATATTGTTCATTTATTTGTTTGCTGGAAATTAGAACTGACTTAAAAAATAGTTTTGAAACAAAAATTTGCGCTTAAACTAAATTAATCATTTATAGGCTAATTGATGTCTGTGCGGTAAGGTTTCCCTATCCACGAGAGCAAAAGCAAAAGTGAACCTACTTTACGTCATGTTAATAGCAATGCACTTATGGCGCGACGCAGCTGGCTCTTAAAGTTAATGGGAGATGAGACTCTTAATTGGTTTATTCTCAAAACACACCTATAACTCATTAAGAAAATAAACTCAACCCTTTTAGACCATGCGCCGCGGCGCAAAGCAGATTTTCCGTCCTTAAATTAGAAAAAATACTAACTAAATTCTAACACGCCCTGAAAGCGCTTGCACCCTGCGTTTTGCGCTCTGCGCATGGACCGTCAAAATAGAGCCCCTAAACTGTTACCTACAAAAATACAAAGCAGGTTATGTTTCCCAGCTATCTTTTTCTTTTTTTTCCCCGCTTGATTTGATGATTCAAGCCTTCATCATATTAGACGTACTAATATCAATCATATTTTCATCAGTTTCAAGCTACGAATATCTGAAATGACATATCAACAGAACAAAACAGAGATATGATCCCAATCTGAGCACTTGCGATCACTATACTTCATCCACAGCTGTTATTAAATAACAATAATAAAAAATGTATTCTTCCACTTAACAGCAAATTAGAATAGAAACAGTATAAAGAGCACACAAACATATGTACAGACAGTAATAGGTGTACATTGTTACGGGTAAATGATGCTAATATTCGGCACAAAACCATCAATTTCCACTTTCTGGCAGTTCTTTCTATGAATGAATGATGCAGAAGCACTGTCCATGCTTGTTTCCTCGTCGGTTAATAACACTATATTTCATTGCACAACAATAATTTAAGTAGTAATTTTTTAACAGTAATTTAGTAGATTTGACTACTGATGTTTTAAACTGTCCAGTTTTATTCAAGACTGAAAAACTGGAAAGCAGACCAATAAGAGAAACATTTAAAGGAGAATTTAGGGGAAAATTTTACTGAAATCATAGAATCCTATGTGTACCTAATTATACACTGGTAGCCTGAATGAATGTTCTCTGTGAGCAAGTAAAGAACGGGTGGGGGTCTACTAGTGTAAATTCAGATAAGACCACACCACACCCACATGATCTCAAAAACAGAGGCAGACTGGGCATTTAATACAATTTCAATGCTCAACTTAAAAAAGGAGGGGGGGGGGGGGGGTGAAGGAGAACAGCTGGGGAGCTCAGGCCAGGGGTTATAGAGATGTAGGCTCTTTATTCTGGGAGTGTCTGTCTGCCCCCTGTGACCCTCGCTTAATAGAGCAGGACTTACCATCCAGCTCTGTGTTTTTTGATCCCGACAGATGGCAACCAATAAACACCCTTAGAGGTTCTCAAAAAGACCTGACTTTCTGAGAGAGGGCAGACGGGGGAGGACAAGTGATGCTGGGGAACTGAAGCACGTGGGGAATGTACTTCCTATAGAGAGGACGTAAGAGCCTCTGACAGGCCACCAATGATCAACTGCATTTGTTAAATACCTACTAAAAACAAACGGAAATCAGTCAGAGGCAAAGAGCCGATGGTGACATGGATAAAGCCAAAAAGGGATGCAGAGCAGCTAGAGATGAACCAGCTAAAGATGGGATGTTTATGGCATATGGGGGGAGGGTACACCACACGCATGTTCAATATAGCCCAGCCATTGGTAACATCCAGATGAAGTGTTTTGTGGGGGGAGGGTTTGCCAGGCTCATAGAGTTATGATCAATGTAATTGGGAAAACTGGCAAGATGCCAGTCACAAACTTTAACAAATGTATAAACAATTGTTTAAAATAATTGGTATAAACCTGAGTTGATATAAAAAAACACATAGTTGTACCGGCTATCAAATGGAGTACATTTTGAAAGAATGAAGAAAACATTACTTTACTCACAAAAGCAAAAATCTAGCTTCAATCACAAGCATATGTTTAACAAACAATGACTAGTGATGTGCGCTATGACTAATTTGGTTCATTTAAATGGAACCTGACATGCAAGTCTTAATCTTTAAGCCAACAATAAACAATCCAAAAACAATAGAAACATCTGTTCAGAAATATAATTAAAAGAGCCTTAAAAATTCAAATTTAACTTGCGCAGATGTTTTTGTTCGGTGAAATTAACATGCCAACGTGGCCCGGTAAAGACATAACCCGAGGTGATTTCTACACTTTAAATGCACTCAGTCAGCAGGATATCCACTGGCATGCAAAAAAGCAAGCCGATTTCTGACAGCACCTGGATAGGCGTAACAAGAGTAAAGAGCAGGTCCCATTCAACCTGGATGACACACATTAATGCAGAGTGTGAACCAAGCGGCAACCTCCTGCTCTCTATCGAGAAGCCAATAGGAAAGTAACTGAAACTGCAATTTAACAAAATTCCGCTAGTCATGGCTCCATATGGAGCATATTTATATGAGCCCACTGTTAAAATGGCCAACTGTGAGGAGGTGAATTTTCTTTATAACTCATGAGTTTCCTTTATATTAGGTTATTTTAAGTTTGCATAACTAAGGGCGTGATCACTTGAGTGACAGCTAGGTCTCGCTGTTTGCCATCAAGTCACCTAAGCTTATTCCGGCTGATAAGCCGCTGAACGCTGGCATATTCATCACATTTTTGTGTTGTTTTATGGGGCTTTACAAAGTCAATTGCCTTTTGAAATTATTTCTTACAAATATCAGATGACATGGCATGCTATGTATTAATTAAGTAATTGTGCTTGCAAACCATTCAAGAGGCCTCCGTTTCCCAGGTAAGTGTGATTACATACTTCACTATCTCTTTAAATGTATTTGTTTTATTTAAGATCATTTATAATGTTATGGAGCTTCTTGTTAATTACGTATGTTAATTACGTACTTATGTTAATTATGTACTTATGTTAAGAGCTTCTTTTGAGTTCTTCATAAACCTATGGGTGACATCATGGAAACTACGTCCATATCTTTTACATTCTATGGTCTGAACCGGTGAGGGCACCGCAACACTGCCATCCAGGGCTTGTGCCACTAATAATCCTGCAGAATAGACGGCTCTTTCCAGCAGAGATAACCTCATCATCATTTATGGACCCTCCACAGTCATCTCTTAAGAAAGCTTCGAGACTTAATATTTCTGTTTCCGTCTAATTCAGAATATATGCAACTGACATGACAGGGTATCTGCACATTTTTTAACAGGAAA